AGGAGCCGGACGATTTCTCAAGGTGGAAGTCGGGAGGCAGATGGACATATGGCTCGAGCAGTCGGACAACCTCGAGAGGTGGGAAACCGTGTCGCTGACAGCTTCTGATCGGCGCGTCCTGATCACTCAGTGGATGGGAGCGGCCATGGCAAGACTCAACAGCCAACACGCGTACCGATACCGTTTTTTCGAAAAGTGCGGGATGGCCATGACCGTGGACGGCTCGGGCGAGGATCGAATCACCTTGGAGANCGGCAACGATGAGCCTGAGGGGCGGGCGGAGGAGGGCGATGGAGAACGTGAGACGCTCATGGAGGGCGTTGACTCCAGCGATGAAGACGACGACGACGGTAAGTTTGTTTTGCACAAAACCAACTCTTCATCTTTTTTTTGTTGATGACGATGTCCTTCATGTTGACGTTAGCTTGTTTCCGCGCACGGCTACCCTCAAATTATGATAAGTTCAGGTTGAGTTTGGCGACGTGACACCCTATGTTAGATATACTCGTAGCATAGTAATGTGGTTGAGTATGGGACATGGTCCCCCCCCCCCCCCCCCTACCCCCCATGTGCCTGCGCACATGGTGACCCCACCTCCGGCTGGGATTTCGTCACTGCTGCAGTACACTTACAGCTACGTTCCTCCCCGGAACATCCCGTTCCTCCTCGCCTTCCGATCGTCGTTACGCCGTATCCAGAACAAAGGCGCCACACTCCAAGCGGGGAAAAATCAAAAACGCCAACAGAAACAAGGCAGACTCATGTACGTGTGTACTACTGGATTTCGATTATACATGCTCATTCTCAAACAAACAGTAGTGAGTGGTGCTGTGCCCAGCACAAATCCTACCGTAAATGAATGTACAATGTGGACAATCCTCTATTGTAAAACGCAGCAAAAGGTTACATGGAAGAGATATTTACTCCCGCTTATGAATAATAAACAATACCTCCCGGAGGAGGTCAACTCGCCACAACATAGCGACGCAAATAGATTGGCATATCTTGTGTCTGGCACCTGCAACCCCCGCTGATGCGTCCAGAAATCATACCGAAGGGCAAGTGAAATGAGTGACGTCCATTCGTTCAATTACAAAACAGGACTGCGTACGCACACCCGGTGTGCGCGCTGTCTACCAGTGATCATGCTCTTCGACCCATCATCATCATCATGGCGCTCAAGCGACGGCGGTAACAGTAGTCGGTGTGATGGCCCTAGCGCGTTCCCCTCGGCTGCTGCACCCTGCGCCCGCGGAGCTCGGTGACGCCTGAATATCAGCACGAAAACAAAACATGTTAGCTCAACTCCGCAGGAGGAGCACGCCGTTCAAAATGGTGGTACATTACACGGGGCGCGCCTCCGGAGTGGGCTCGTCAGATCGTATGAACAATACACACGCCATCAAGGCGTCATGCAAGATGAAAGTTAACCATCTTTTCTTTTTTTTTCACTTCAAATCAGCGCTCACAGCACTAGTGCATGCGCGGGTGTGGATAAATCGTGTGAACCAGCTGCCATCAGCGACGGTTCCGAAGAAGCTCGAGCAGATTATACAGCTGACGTGCCTTTGACTCCAAAAGCCCAGCGAACCGCAACGAACCAAAAAACAAAGTTAAAAAAACAGCAGTCTTGGGAGGGAGTCGCGAAACGGTCGTCACGGCGAGGTCGGCGTAGCGATGGCACAAAAACTACAGTGTTGTCACTGGCAAACTGTTGGCTGTATCGAACCATGGGTCCCTCCCGGCCAACAGGGGTTTACACCAACACAGGCAGGTGCAACAAGCGCACGTCCTTTTGTCAGACTTCATGAGTCGTGTGTGTGTGGTTTGTCCTACGCACCGTTCGGTGGATGTTTTGACACACCAGCCGGGGTCACATAGGATGAAGGCATAACATAACGAGCTTGACGTCAATCAGACTTTGCCGCTGATTCCCTCTTTTCAAAGCAAGGGTCAAAATGAGAGGATTGAACGCTGGCGAAACAGCCTTTTCGTTCTCCTCACTTTCCGTCATCCAAGTCCCCCACCCCGCACCATACTTAGCGCTTGCATACCTTATCGAGCACCTTCCTTCTTGTATCATACGTTTTGAACGGGACAAAAGCACAAGGGCGGCACTATCAGCTGCTGTACACGCTCGGGAACAAAAACATCTTATGCACCAAGAGATGAGGACAACACTGCCCATCCTGAGCCGTACTTCGCGTGCCACAGCACCCAAGCTTCGCTCCGACCCACGCCTCAAAAGCCTCATACGATTCCCCAGCAACTCCATCTGTCTGTGGGTTTGCGTCGCATTACCATCCCAGCATGATCCCCTGACCCCGCAAACACGCACCTGAGAGAGCCTAACCCCCCCCCTGGCCGCACCCCCCTTCTCACAAAGGCGATCGAAATCCTGTAGCCTGGTCCTGAGCACGAACTCCGTGAGGGGCGCGTTGGGTGCGGCAAACGCGGTGCCAGATGTCGATGCTGAAGTTGATGTCGATGTCGATGTCGATGTAGGGATCATAACGCGAACGATGCGGCCTCTGTCCGTCTCTTCGCCTGTTATTGTAAATAGTTTCAATAGTGAGCAAGGGTCCGCCGATCAGATCAGGTCAGATCCGACCAAAAGGTACGATTTTGGCCGTAAGTGTTTAGTGAGAGGACGATTGCGCGTTCGACGCGCAGACACAATACAAAGACCAACCGCGACGACTCCAAGCATGTACTTTTAGAGCGATTCAGTACAACAAATGAATTGAGAGTCGGCGAAAAAAAGAACTCTTCCGGTACCAACAAGCGTGGTCGCTGTATGTGCAAGGCCGGTGACATCGCGTGACACAGATGGAGTTTGTCAGGTCGTGCTCTGAATAATGCCGCCTTATACAGGGACCATCAATGTGGTGAGGGCAACATACTATGGAAAGCACCCGAAACAACATCACACGAAAAAACATGAAGTTGGAGGGGGGAGGACGTCAAAGGGGGGCAGGCCACGACAGCTCTAGCAACGCGGAGCAATTTCGTTCCCGCGCCTCACTCTTCGAGCGAAGCTTCTGGTACTGGCACAGGGCATGCAGCAGCAGCCGGTGGAATGGAGACGGGCCTAGGGGCACCAGGAGCGTGGCGCCGGCTGCGGCCTCCGATGACTTTCCCGCTTCCTTCTTGACCTCTACTTTGGGGAGAGAGGCCAACGCCGAGCGTAGCGCCGATGGCATTCCTGTCAGTGTCTGCTGCGTCTGCGTGGGTCGAAACAAAACACGGATAGGGAGGAACGTGTAGCAGGGTGAAGAGCACGGTGAGAAAATAGCCTTGATATTGGGAACTCTCCACCAGGAGTTACAACGGCGAGCGCCGCCTCGCGGTGACAGATTGTATTGTGATGACGATTCCATCCGACTGGGTGAACAAACCGCAAATATCTCACTGTTGCGCAGCACTAGGTAGCTTGGAGCTTGGTAGCTGCTCATGACCACGGTCGTTCTATACAGGCCATCCTCCTTTCTTAAACCGGTATTTCATTTTAACCGCAACCCGGACAACACCGCTACAAATACCCCCCTTTCCTCCACCGTTGGAATCAAATCTTGCAACGTCGGGGATCTTGTGGGGACCGTCGTCCCAAAGCACACCTGAGTGAATTCTCCTAGCAACGTTTCCAGTCCCTTCACGAAGCCCACAAGAGCGGGGTTGCGCAGCGCCCGAACAACGATGTCCCTAAGACGACGCTCCACCAACAGAAACCTCTCTTCTGCATCTGGGATAGGCAGACGGGCAGGCAGGTTGGGCAAGGACGAGGAGGTAGCATGAGGCGAAAACCCTTAGTCGGGTGAAAATATTCAGGGCTGACAACGTGACGGTACGTTTTCGACGACGTCCGCGGTCACTGACCATCGTTGGAGGACATTGAGGTGCGACAAATAAAACCCAGTACATGCATGGGGAGAGAGAATAAATAATAAAGCTGTAGCGGGCACACCGCCGAAAGAGAACAAATGCAAAAATCGAAGGAGCAACGACAGAGAACAAACAAATCCCAAGACAGGAAAACAACCCACCTTCCCACTTTCCCCCCGCGAAATGCCTCGTTCCCGACCTGGGAGCACTACCCCCATTCTGCGGCGTCGGCTGCATGCCGTTCCGAAAGCTCTCTCGGACCTCCGCTGCCCTTGGGTCGGACACCAGGTCCCCCAGGCTGGAGCGCCACGCGTGCTTCACCTGCGAGTCGGGCAGAGGAAATCGGGCTGGCAAGGCGTCACTAACGTTGCCGACCACCGCTACAATCGTACGGCCACAGTCGGGAGCAAAATAACGGATACCACCCCAGTCTCCGCCAAATTGCTGTGTCAACCTGTCGCCGGAGAGGGGCTCGACAGATGGGAAGATCGGTCGAACGGGATGATGACGATCGGGGAGGTTCCGCCGCAATAAACAACGCGATTATCTGCCTGAAAAATCTCATGAAACAATGATACAGCGTGTGTGCGTGGGTGTTTTCGTTTTTCTTTCCTTTCTCGGGTTAGGGCTAGGGTTAGGGTTAGTTAACCAAAGGGGATGCATCTGCACATACCCCGCGGGGAGTGTAGCTGCACAAAAACAATCCTCTTCCTAAGAGGAATCCCGAGGATGTTCACCGTAGTGAAATAGCAAAACGTTTTTTTACGTGGAACCACCGGCCGTGATATTCCATGGGTAGGGACGGTGTGCTCCTTGCAATACGCGACCGCTGTCAATTCGCGAGGTCGTGGCTATTCTGCGAAGAAACCTCAACACGGTAAGTATTCAACAACCTTCTCATCTCGTGTACCGAGAAAAAAAACAGTCCTCCAGCACTGCGCACCGTGAGATGCTCGGCCTCTCCCTCTTCGTGGGCGTGGCGCCCCCGCAGAAATTTCTCCACCCCGAGAAGATTATCTGCGGTTGAGAATGCTGGTGGTGTTATCTTGAAGGGATCGCCGGTGGCAAGCAACCGGACCGGAGCTCCTCACTACAGCCGGACACCAGTTGTGATGCGTCGTGGTGCAAACTTTCGTTTCGTCATGGCCTTGTGCAATCATAAACTGTCTTTCTGAAAGCTACTGGTGCGATGCTCGCGTTGATGCCCGCTGCGGAGGCAACCAAAACGCTGAGGCATCTCATTGGCTCGTCTCACTGACAACCGGGGTTTGGGACAACCAAAGTGGTACATTCGCGCAACGACTTCCTGACTGCGTGCGCAGAGGTTGAGTCGTGGCACACAGCGCACGCATGGCATATGGAAAAACGTGACACCTCTCTCTCTTACCGTTTTCCCAGCGCCTTTGCTTCCTTCGGCCCGGTGGCTGCCGCCTTGATTCTCCCTCTCTCCTTACCACCGATGACCGCTGCACGGGGGCCGCGGTAGTGTGCAGGATGCTGGACGGCCGAAGCCTGTTTGCACGATGCCGCGAACAAAAACAATCGGTCGCTTCAGCGCATGTAGCATGGCACGACGTCAACCGACCAAGTGGGTCACCGACGGCCCTACGTCGATACACCAGGCAGGCTTCTGGTGAAAAGGGCCCACGACTTTTTTGTATGCAAAAGACGTCGGAAAGAGTGCAGGTAGATAGAAGCTCCAAAGAACAAAACGTCCAAATAATTTTGTTTGGACAAGAGATCACGAGGTGTCTGGGGTCGTCATCCGGGAGTTGGGTGCTTGGGGACCGCCTTCATGGGAAATTAAGTACAAAAAAAAACATAGAACAGGGAGGGGGGACGCAGAACCTAACCCTAACCCTGACAAAACTCCCCCGATTGCATTTTATATTCAACATGTCGATTTGAACAAAATAAACTGCCAAGGCTACTGGTGCTTGACCCTCGGTGCGCCTGCACCAAGATGCGTACTCTGCCACTGAATCTACAGCAGCAGCTCTGCTTGTTGTTGTATGTTGACCTGCATCCTTACTGATTCCAAATCTTGAACAGTGTTTGACGTTGCAGGAAATTCTGTCCGGTATCACTCGCAAAAAAAGTAGGATGAAGATATGCCTGCAGACTGCGGAGGTTCAAAAACCTTCAGATTCACTCGTTGCCAGCCCGGCGCAGTCTGTTGTTACTACAGCTGTGGGACCAATATAGACCTTTTAGGTCCTCCTGTTTCTCTACAACACCCGTAAGGAACGGCAGCTCCAACGTATGTGTCATTTTCATGATAATGTTAAGGATCGGCGGTCAACCGCATATTCTCGTTATTGTAGCACGCTTTCTCCTATGAGCATGGCCTCCCTCTTAAGTGGGCAAAACACCTTTAGCGTCGTCGATGAACAAGAGCAAACGTCTACTATGGCTCTTGCCGTCACTTCAAAAGGAAACAGACAGGGTTTGGCACGTATTCCGCAGACTTCCTCTGCGCATCCCAGCCAACTTTAAGTGTAAACAACCTTGGTTGTGGAAACGACGCCGTCGGAGAGAGGGCCGAGGGGGTGTGCTGTTGACTCAATAGTGGCAAGGGAGTGAAATTGAAGTGGATCATGAAAGGGCTCCCCTCCCAAAAATAGGGGTCCAACAAATAAAAAATAAAAAAATTCGCGCGAAGCGCGAAAAGAAGGGTCGGAGAGATACATCAGAGCAAGCGTAGAATGATGTGGATGGAGCCTACACCACCAAGTAGGTCACCAGTGCGGACGCTCACACCTCACTCGATACCAGCAGTCAGTCAGGGGATGAATGGAAATGCTGTTTAGCTCTCATCATCATCAGCTCAGCGGCAGCAATGCTGCTGCTGCTGCTGCTGCTGCTGCTGCTGCTTGCTGTTGCTGCCGCTTCTGCTGCTGTGCGGGTGCGCTCTTGCTTTCTTCGCTATCGCTACTAGCAAAGGGCAATGGGCTCCTTAAATTGGCCCGGACCCCTCCCACGACGTGTGCATTTGGCCGTCCTTGGCTTACAGCGCTGTGTACGTCTCACTTGTCTCTGTTTCTGGGGTGGGTCTGTTATGGAAGCAAAGGTCGGCCGGCAGACGAAGCGACCGCAGACAGAGATCTCACTCATGTGCACTCGCATGTTCCCTCGCTTACGCTGCTAGCACTAGGCCTTGGGGTCTAAAAACAGCTTCCGGCGCCAGCCATGATGTGTGCCTTTGGCCAGCCTTGGCCTACAGCAGTCTGTAGGCCTCGTTCTCTCTGTTGGGGGATGCGTCTGTGCGGGAAGCCCCAAAGATCGGTGGGTTGAAGGTGATGACGCACACCGACGGAAGATTGACTTGCGTCGTCACTCGCTTGTTGTGCTGCCGACAGCAGGCAACGGGCTGCAAGAGTCATACCCAACGCCTCTCACGATGTGTGCCTTTGGCTGCCCTTGGCCTACAGCAGTCCGTATACTGTTGTGCTGGTTGTGTCGTATGTGAGAATACCCTTGCTCCGTTATGAGCCAAGGTCCCTGAAGTGGTGAATAACCGTTCACCAGCGGAGGTAATTTCGCTCTTATTGCAATGTGGCAAGGAATGGCCAAGCGTGCCTGACGTTAGTCAGCCTTGCTAAGGTGAAAGGTGAGAGAGTGAGCCTTGGCGGGCTCCTTCATGCTCGGCTGGTCACAGCAGGCGGAGGTTCTTTCTTTGTTAACATCTGCAGACCTGTAGAACTGTGTTCGTAGGGTCTCCGATCTTCACTGGTTGTATGTGCGTCAGTACCGTTAGGAAGATACCTATATCCAGGTTTCCACATTAATCTCTTCGTCGACGCCAATGAGAATACCCTTGCTCCGTTATGAGCCAAGGTCCCTGAAGTGGTGAATAACCGTTCCCCAGCGGAGGTAATTTCGCTCTTATTGCAATGTGGCAAGGAATGGCCAAGCGTGCCTGACGTTAGTCAGCCTTGCTAAGGTGAAAGGTGAGAGAGTGAGCCTTGGCGGGCTCCTTCATGCTCGGCTGGTCACAGCAGGCGGAGGTTCTTTCTTTGTAAACATCTGCAGACCTGTAGAACTGTGTTCGTAGGGTCTCCGATCTTCACTGGTTGTATGTGCGTCAGTACCGTTAGGAAGATACCTATATCCAGGTTTCCACATATGTCCTCTGTGTATGTTGTCTACGTGATGTGTATGGTGCTGCTGTGCAAAAGGATTTCGGTGATTCTGCCGAGAGCGTCGTGTCCATCGCCCAATCATGTCTCTGTCTTACAAAATGTCTTACAAACTCGACGGGTGATTGGTGGGAGATGGGCATCTACCCGGCTCTTCCCCTCTGAAACATGGATACTTGTTGGAAGTTCTTCCATGTCTCACAAAAAAATTGCCCTGTTTATGGGTGCTCTGTCCGAAGGGGAACACACGCACCACCATGAGGCCATTAGGAACAGCTTGGTTCTTTGGGGAGGCAGTCAACGAGGAACACAAATACCATCGTGGAAAGCACAGCACTCACGGCACAGACGAGTGGAATAACAACAGCCGTCCAGCGCGCGAACGTGACGTACCACTGCTTGTGCACACACTGCAACACGAGCCCTGGGGAGAGATGATATGTCTTGAACTTTCAAGTGCAGTAGCTAGGAGCAGCATCATCCGCAGTCCCGAAGTCCCGAAGTGTGCATGGTACAGCAGTGTGCAGTGTACCGTACGGTTTTTCCGATGACGAATCAACTATTCCGAGAGACCAAGCAACACGCTATATTGTGTCGTAGGAATCACCTTTGCGGGGTGTGCGTGCGGTTGAGCCGCTGCGGGGTGTGGGCCCTCCCGGCGCCGGTGTCCGCTGAGAACACCACGGCTAGGCTGTCGTCCTCATCGTCATGCCCTGTACGACCATCACGATGGACACTTTCAACTGCTCCCCCATGAGACGGAGAACGCTGACGATCATCTCTTGTGTCGTAGTGACGTGCAATCAGGACGGGAGCTTCCCTTTCTCGGGGAGGCGACGGTCCAAAAGCAGGCGCATACATGGCCGGTATATTCCGCCCTGTTAAGTGCGTGGAGGTGCTGTCGGTGTGTGAGCACGGGTGCTCAAAGGGCAGGGAACAGGGGGTGTGTCGTCTCGCGTGACACTGCAACACTCCAACACTCGATTCGGGGGCATCGCAGATTGCAGCCTTTATCTCAATTCCGCCGCTTCCAGTATCGCGCCGCACTGGTTGGCTTCCCATGTGGTTAGATGAAGCCTAGCCTAACTTAGGTGTTGGGTGGTTCACGTAATCGTCTCTCTCTGTCTCTGCCCAGTGAGTTCATCCTGGTTCACTTGCCGAACGAAACCCATGATACTACAACTAACGCAAGCAAGATGCCTGCAGGCTCTTCGGGTGGGAAATCCATCGATGTCGGGGACGTTGTGGACACCGAGCTTGCCCAGCTCAGCGGCGGTTCTACTGGGCCAAGAATGCGGCAGCCGTGTGTTCTCGAGAGGGTTGAAAGGACAGCCTGATTGTGATGTCAAGACTCACGAGCTGGTAGCACCAGAACGCCCGACTCCGGCGAGGCTGGTCGTAACGCATAGCAGGTGATTCTACGCGCGAAAAGCTCGTCATGAGAACGTTCAGACGATGAAGGGATAGGCAACAATGGCAATCCGGCATTTGGTCCCAACTCCCCAACTCCCAACGATCTTGAACAAACACAGCAAGCTGGTTCCGCCGCCTGTGTGATGATCCCTCCTCCCTGCAACTACCTACAGGAGGATGTATCCAGGACTCCACGACATCTGGTGTTGATGTATTTTAGCTGTCTTTCTATCGCACTCTACATAAAATCGCTCTACGACGAGTCCAGCCCCGAACGCGCTTTCATCACGTTTCTTCTATTTTACACCATGATCATCTGTGGCATCGCGGCCCTCCGAACCCAGTGAATGTGCTCCTGCAAGGGCATACCCATGGTAAGCCATGTGATGGTAGTGCTGTACTTGTGCTTCAATCGCCTCGAACAATGGTGGGGTTTCTATGAGGTTGCTAGTTTAGTGATGCCGCACATGTGCACCACAGCGTGTGCGTTGATGCGCCACACTGCTGTGTGCTTGCCTCTACTATTGTTAGTTCACTTTCGCACCCTGTACGCGATTGCTTTCACGTGATTCCCAGTTACATGGACGGGCTGATACCTCTTTTGGACCGCTTCATCGCGGACCCCGATGCCGTGAACAGCGTCTCGTCCGTCATTCCTGGAAGGATTTACGTCGTCAAGGGTGAGCGTTCTACGTTGGGGCTATCTACATCTATCTTGAGAACTTAAGATCTTAAGCGCTGTGATCAAGAACGAAAACATTTGACCCATCGTTTTGGCTGGTTGTTTCGTCGAGCCAATCGGTAGTCCACGCTTCAGATGCACCTTCTCGATGTTTTTACGCTACCGCTGGTTGTCTATACATACTTGTGTACGTGGATGGGGCTGTTGATGCCTCAATGCGGCCTCATCTCCCGAGCTCAAGAACTCCGATACGGGTTCACACAGCGAGGGCCCCTGTCCGCGCCGTATGGCTTGAAATTCAGCGTTTTATGTTTCTCGAAGGAGGGCTGGCCTCAAAGGAAGCAGAGCCCGTCTGAAACCATGCGGGGAAGGGTGGTGTGAGAAGGAATTGCTTCGGGTCAAATGTCTCCATCACGCACGCTCAATGAGCAAGTCGCACACTTCACTTTGTGTCCACCATGCAAACGCTCGTGAGCCGTCTGCGTTGTCATTGCGATACGAATGTCGCTCTTAGCTCATCGGTCCCTATCTCGCCCCGACGCCCTTTGCCGGGTTCCGCCAGGGAGGTCGGAACTTTTCAAGATGACGGTTCGAGATACAACAAACGGCTTCAAGGCGCTTGCTCGAAAAGGAACTTTAGGACAGGAGGTGTTCATCAGCACAACCAAAATGGACCTAGGCGACGTAAAGGTGAGGGGGGCGCCGGAGGCATGAAGGAACCTAACCACACCACATGGCTCGAGTAGTACCCTCACCGCGGACATGGGATCGCCCCGGCCCCTGCCCCCGCCCCCGATGCAATTACTGTCTCCCCTTCCACCACCTGTGGCTCAATGACGAGACCGCCGTACATGGCGATAAGGCTGTGGACACTCACGTGGTTGGTGTACGACGACACACATACAGGGGGGGGGGGGGGGG